GACGCGCTTCCGCACCGCCGCCACCTGCGCAGCCTCGCCCAGGCCGCACTGGGCCAGGGCCACCTCCAGCGTGCGTGGCAAGGAAGTCTGGTGCCGCAGAGGCTGGTCCCTGCGGCCCACGCTGCACACGACCTGGGCAGGATGCGGGCTGGGTTAGTCCAGGAGGAGCTCACCCTCAGCTGCCCCCCCACACCACCCTGTGCCAGGATCCAGGAGGGACCCCTCACCCCACACTCAGGGGTGCCCCTCCACGGTGTCTCCACAGAGAAGTACTTATAACAGACAGCTCTGCCCTCTGGTCCTACACCCCTGGGGGGTGCTACTCAGGCTGCCAAGCTGGGCTCTCTGCTCCCCAGGCTGTCGGCATTGCTTCTGTAACTCTGGCAGCAGGTGCCACCCTGCTGTGCCCCAGCCCTGAGCTACCAAGAGCAGGGCGGAGGGTCCACCCAGGTTGGCCAAAGCTATGTATTCAGGAGGGTCCCCAAGACTCCCTGAGCTCCCCAGCTCAGCTTGAGGGGCCTCCGGCACTGGGTGGACCCTGGTCGTCCTGTTCTGTGGGCAAGGGCTCTCTGGGAAGGGGATTCAGCCCCTAGGCAGGCTCCTGGCGTGGACGGAGTACGAGCAAGATTGGGAAGGGACAGAAAGTGCTGGAACCGGGAGGCCCCCCAGAAACAACCACGATCCCGCCAGGGGTCCTCCTCGGGTCAATGAGCTGGGCTGGGGTGTGGCAGTGGTCACTACCTCAACCTGGGCCACCCACCTTGCTCAGCAGGGGCCTGTCATGCTGCGTCCGACACACTACGGCACAGATCCGCACCGCCAGCGCGGGGCCTGGTGGGGGGCTGCCTGGGGGGAGACGGTGAGACTAAGCCCAGCACAGGAGCTGGGGGCCAGCTCCCGCCCTGGCCAGCTCAGGTGGCCTTCACCTGGGAAGGGCAGCTGGGCAGGCGGGCACACGGCCTCCACCAGGACACTCTCCTCCTCCTCCAGTTTCTCCAGCAAGGTCAGCACTGTGTCCACCACGGGGCCCAGGTCTGCCCGAGGATGCAGCCGCAAGGCCTGCCGTCCCCGCCAGTGCCAGCCACTGAGCTTCACAGCCACCTGCAGAGGGAGGGAGGGGCCTCCTTATCACCCCGGGCCCACAGGGTGGGGTGCCTATACCATCCGAACCCAGGAGTAGCAGAGCTTGCCAGAAAGGCGGGGCAGCAGCTAAGGGGGGCCAGCCTCCGGCAGGACTTGGTAACCTCCACGGGTCCCCACTAGCTGGCATCGCGAGACCCGGGGGCCGGGGCTGTTACCTGCAGGGCGTCCCCCAGGACCTGGGAGCGCAGGAAGACTCTCACTTCCTCCGTCACCAGCGCCTCCTGGCCCTGTCTGCCACTCAGCCGCACCACCCGGAGCGCGGGGCTGGCGCCCCCGCCCTGCAGCAGCGCCGGCGGCTTGTAGGTGAAAGCCAGGGTGGCTGGCACTGCCACACTGCCCTGCGTGGCCAGCAGCTGCCTCGTCAGCAGCCGGTCCTCCAGCAGCCGGGCCAGCTCGGCTGAGGCTCCCGTGGGGCAGGCCAGGTCTCGGGCCAACTCCGCGGCCTCCTGACCCCGGCCGGGCCCCAGCCCCAGCCCCGCCAGGAAATAGGTGGCAGAGCGCGGGGGCACAAAGTCGTCCAGAAACGTCAGGCCCCCCGGGTAGAAGCTCACAGCCTTGGAGACCAACAGGGCCGTCTCGCCTGGCCTCTCGGGAGCTGGCACCTTGGCCAGCCAGGCAGGCGACAGGCAAAGGAGCATGTTTCCTGTGGGCAGAGGGAGGAGGGTCGCTGGCCAGTGAGGCACGCTGGCCCGCCCTCGCCGCCAGCCTGCTCGTGTGTAGTGGGGGCAGCTGCTCCCAGACCCACCCCCACTGAGGGCATGGCAGCTGGGCCAGCAAATTCGGGCAGACGCCAGGGTCAGCGGGTATTTTGGGATGTGGCCGGGCCAGGCCAGGACTGACCTTTCAGTAGGAGGGGGTGGGGAACCCGGGCGCACACTCACCCGGACTCTGGACCCCACCCTCCAGCAGCACGGGCAGGAAGGTGCTGGGGGATCCCAGGACGCACAAGGTGACCTCGGCCCCGGGGCAGCCTCGGGAAGAGAACATCCCCTGTTCACGGGGGCTCCCTCGCCGTCCTTCCAAGCCCTTCCCGCCCCTCCCACCCCCGCCGACACCTCGGGTCACCCAGTGCTTCTGGTTTCCTGTGGAGAGGACGCCAGAGCGGGAAGAGGCCGCCTGCCCAGTGCCGGGCTGACCCCTTCTCCCCGCAGCCGCGCCACGGCCCTGGACCGGGGCTCTGCCCCTGATTCGGGGTGACCCTCGGTCCCGGTGGGTGCAGCGCGGAGGCACCTGTGACCTCAGTTCCCCAGTCTACATTGGGACCAAGGCCACGAGAGTCCCGTCTTCTAGCTGAGTGCCCCTGACATGCAAAATGCTTGGTGGCCTCGTGACATATAAAGCAGAGGAGTGTTCAGTCCCTCCTGGTCAGCCACCTCCACAGCAGCTTCCGAGACACCTCTAGAAGCTCCAGCTTCACGGGAAGGACAAGGAGTGCCAGGGCTGGCCCTGGGGGCAGGGACGGGACCTTGGTCCCTGAGCTGACTGGTGCTAGAGGGCCCGGGAGCAGCGCTGGCCTGGTCTCCTTGGCTTCAGAGCCAGCCAGAGCCGGGGAAGGGGCCGGGAAGCAGGCTGAGCTGGGCACCTCCCCCCTCCACGGCCCCTCCGAGGAGCCCTTGGCACCTGTGCGGGGCACCTGGCTGCGGTCCTGGGTCTCCGGAAGGCCAGCTTGCTGCAGACAGCTCTGCAGGAGGCTGTAGAAGTAGACAGTCCAGGCCCGGGCCTCTGCCCCCTCTGGGGCGCCCCGGCAGTCCAGGCCCACGTCGTGGCCCCAGGAGCCAGGGAAGTCGCCTGTGGGAGGCAGGCCAGAGCCCCCTCCCCACCGGCCCTCCTCTTCCTCCTTGAAGCCCAGGGCGCAGTCCCGCTCGGGACCCGGCGGATCCAGGGAGAGCTGAGGGGGCAGAAGTGTTGGTCTCGGGCAGGGTGGCCCAGGGGCGCGTCAGGTCACCAGGGGTGTGAGTGCCCTCCCACTCTGGAGCCAGGAGGGCGCGGGGAGCGGCTGGGCAGGCGGCGGGGGCAGTGTGCGGTCAAGGGGGCTGCGGTGTGGGCCGAGGCAGCGTGCAACTGACTGGACGACACCCTGCCCCGCCCCGGCCAGCTCTGCCCTCCTTTGACTCAGGGGTGAAGATGTTTGCCTGAAAGGGTGCCTGGCACACATAACTGTTTGCTGACAGAATAAACGAAGGAACCGAGCAGTCGCGCTCGGCTGCTCGCTCTCCCTGGCGCCAGCGCGCGGTCAGCACCGTGGCAGCCGCTGGGGCCTCCGTCTGTGGGCTGTACGTCCCAGGACCACCGGGGTCGGGGCTCAGCCCGGGCCAGGCGCGGGTCCTCTTCAGACACTGAGCGCTAAAAGGTTTTCTTTGGATGCCACCGCCCCCCCACACACACACACGCTGGCTGCTGCTGTCCGTGCTGCTCTGAGCTTCGGTGGGAAGGTGGGTGGGACACAGAGGACCTGTGGGTGCCTGGGGCCTGCCCTGCCCCGCCCTGGGGTGCTGATGAGGCGTGGACTTTGGTCACTGGGAGACTGCTGTGGGCAGGAGCCAGCTGGGCCTCGGACGTGGGCTTGAGTCCTGGCTCGCCAGTGCCAACCTTGGGTCTGGGGACCCTCTCTTGAAAGCTGAGCCCCCAGAGAGCCCAGTGAGTGGGTTCACTGTTGTGTCCCCACCTGCAGGGTGGTGGTGGGTGCGCAGTCAGTGCTCAGCAGACGCTGCAGAATGCATGAAGGGGCTCAAGCCTGCCCACTCCCGGGACGGCGGCTGCCCGCCCGGCCAGAGCGTGGCGTCCAGGTGTGCAGCTGGCTCGGCTCTCAACTGCGCAAGGGCAGCTGCTAGGCGAGGCTTCTGGGTGCCAGCGCTGCCCTCTGGACCCTCCCTCTGGCCAGGCTGGGGGCCTGGGAGTAGGGCAGGGACCAGGGGCTGCGTCTGGGGTGGGGGCGCGCAGCGACCAGAGGCAACTCACCATCGTACAGGTGGAGAGGCTGAGAGGCTGATGGCGAGCGGAGAGAGAGACAGAGGGAGGGTCACCCACCCACCAGCCCCAAGCTCTGGGGCCTCTGTGCTGGCCCTCAGAGGCGGCCAAGGCTGCCCCACCCCCACCCCAGGAGGCAGAGGCGAACGGTTCCTGCCTCAGGGACCTGCGTGGGCCCCTCTGCCCTGAGCTGGCACCTCCAGAGCCTTCCAGGGCGCTGGGGGTCCTGACACTAGGTCCCTCCAGCGGGTCGTGCCAGGTCCCAGTGGGACGAGGGGCAGGTGCCGAGGGCCCCGCAGCCCCGCTCCCGCAGCCCCCCTCCCTGGCTCTCCGGCGCGGGCAGGACCCGGGGTACCTTGCAGCGGCGGCTCTCAGCGGGCGGTCGGCGGCTCGGCGGCGGTGCGCCGCGGGCTGGGCGGCGCCGCTTTATATAGAGGCGCCGGCCGTGCCCAGGGTGGGCGGGGTTGCCGAGCCCAGGACCTGCCCCGCCGACCTACAGACGGGCACGGCGCGCCCCGCATCCGCGGCCCTGGGACCTGGGGGCCTGCGCGGGTGGGGTAACGGACCTGGGTGGTCCCGGAGCCACGGACCGCGGTGGCCGGAGGACCTTCGGAGATGGCTGTGTGGGAACGGGGGCCAGGTACCCCCCACGCCCCGCAGGCGCCATCGGAGGGCCCTGGACATAGGTCTAGGTCATGCTAAAAAAGAGGTGGGGACGGGACGGGACAGGAGGGAGCCCACACGGGGGAGGGAGGGAGGGGCGAGCTGGAGCCCGCGGAGGCTGGTACGGAGCGGAGCGGCCCTGGAGGGTGAGTGGCCGAGCGCCGGCGGGCTGGGCTGCGCGGTGGAGCTCCGGGGCTCCCAGCCAGCGCCCTCTGTCGTGCCCCCTCCCAGGAAGGCCATTGCGGGTTCTGGTGGCGTGGGAGGGGTGCTCTCCTGCCCACGGTCGCACTCCATGGACGCGCCCACAGGGTAGCTCTGAGATACCCTCTGTCCCCAGAAGGCTCAGAGGGCAGGAAATGACCAGGCTGAGGGCTGGGGGTGGGGATGGGGTGAGCACAGGAAAGGGGTGTCTTCCATCCAACCTGCCTATCAACACCCATAATCTCCCCAACATACAAATATTTAGACCCAGGGCACCCACCCAGACACCCACAGAATCTTACCCTGAGACTTGGCTTCTAGTGACTGGCTCCCCCCAGAGACACCCCCCCAGACTCTGGCCCTCTCCTGGGGAGACACCTGCCTGGCCTGGGACCTGGCTCCTCCTGCTCTGGCCTGAAGCTTAGATTTTTTCCTGCCTAAAACGGGGCTCGCTCCCATCTCGTAAAAGCTGTGGGATCTCACACCCCGCAAAGGCAAGCTGTTGTTCAACTCCTCCACTCACGCTCTAGTCCTTGTCTGCCGCTGGGGGGCTCCGGGCGAGGGGCGGCAGAGAAGGGCCTCAGGGCCTCATTCGGGGTGGGGTCCTCCTGCCCAGCCCAACCCACGTTTCCACACAGCTCTCCAGGGCCGCTCGGCCCCCAGTGCAGTCCAGGGCCTCTCTTCCTGTGGCCTGGAATGAGGTGGACCCCTCCATTCTCTTGGCCAGCAGGCCTGGAATGAGGTGGACCCCTCCATTCTCTTGGCCAGCAGGGTAACCCGACCCCAGTGCCACCCACCCAGGAGGGGCAGGGCCTGCGGTCACCGGGCGAGAGGGTGTCAGGGTGAGCGGGAGCTCTGACATCTCACAAGCGCTCAGAAACAAAATGCAGCATTTCTCGTGGAGACTGCCCACCGTGTCTGCACCACACCTTTTTCCTACTAAACCTTTCTAGTGCAAAAAAGCATAACTCATCTGAGCAGATGTAAAGATCTTATTGTCTTTACTCAGTGAGTCACCAGCCGGGCAGCAGCCAGCGGGCAGCTAGAGCCTGAAAGGCCGTGGAAGGCCAAGGGAGAGGAAGGGGGAAGTGGCAGGAGACGGAGCGGGCTGGCGATGGCCTGGTCACTGTCCTCCGGGGGCGCCGGGCCGCCTGGCCTGCGCTGAGCAGACAGTCCTATGGCCTGGCGGAGGAGTCTCTTTGTGGTGAAGCCTAGCGGCACCTCAAGAGGAGCAGGCTGCCTCTGGGGCCGGGGAGCGCCACGTGTGACCCAGGACCCAAGGGACGAGCCAGTGGGAGCACACGGCTGCTCCACGGCAGGGCGCTCGCTGTCACGAGCAGGCGCTGGGTGTGTGCGTGGCAGGGGAGCGGGCCGGGAGACAGGGCGATCCAGCTCCTGGGGAACGGGGTGGGGGG